AAAGAAAGAAAGAAAGAAAGAAAGAAAGAAAGAAAGAAATGATGGCAGTGGATAATCTGGCTGAGTAAAAAAGATCATAAGGAAACCAGAAATTTATCTGGCATTCTTTCAGATGAAAATGAGTACATTTCACCATCAAATTGCTATAAAAAACCAAATGGTGGAACTGAATGCCAATTCATTCCAAATCTATTTTTTTAAATAGATATTAGCTTCTGAATGATTCATGACAAAGCATATGATTAAGACTAGAGCAATGAATTTTTTCATTGAGAGGAAATTTCAAACAGAAACCATCTTTAAAAAGATTTTTTCCCAGAAAATTTGAAACTTACCAAATCAATAGGGTAAATGTAGGAAAGCTCAGATAGTAATTGCCTGCAACGAATTGTCAACTGAGCATTAGTCTTCAGAAAGAGTTCTCTGATAAGGAAAGATAAAAAGCATATTTGTTAAAAAAAAAAAAGTTTTCATGCTAATATTTATTTCCACATAATTGATGCAGAGGAAGATTAAATGGCCTGCAGTGGGCCACAGAAACTCAGAAGTAGAGTCAGAATAATAGCTAACATGAATCCTGACCTATCTCTAAATAGTATAAGATCAAGATAACTATATACTGAGGCCTACTGTGTGTATCAGGCATCATGCTAAGAGATGTAAAGGGTACAAAAAATCATTGACTGTGCACCTACCGCTATATGCCAGGAGCTTTACAAACGGCTTTACTTATTAGAATAATTCAATTAGGTTGATATTATTATACCCATTTTACAAACAAGGATAAAAAATTTAGAGAAGCTCAGTAAGAAGACCAGGGTCTCATTTAATCTGAAAGCCAATCTGATTTCAGAAAATATCTACATGGTATTATCTTTAAAAAGTATTCTATTTTTCACTCACAGCTACTGCCTGCCATGTTAGGAAAATAGAATAAAAAGAACAAACAATAAGCTGTGGCATGAGATGATGCAGCTCTTCTCTTGAACTAAAGAAATAAGACCATGAGATAAAATATCCATAGAATAAATTACCTGCTCAATTGTGCTAATGATTAAAAAAAAAAAAAAAGAGGAATTCAGCAAAACTGTAGGTCAAAGTAGAACGTAAAAGTAGTAGTATAACACAAAGAGCATTAAAGAGTTAAAGGGATCTAGTCCTGCTTTCCTTGTGAGCTGGTCAAAATAACTTCCCAGAGCCTTGCCTTCCTATCTGCAAATTGAGAGGATTAGACCAGATGATCTCCACGGTTCTTTCCAGGTCTAACATTCTTGAATGTTCAATTGCTAAGGTTTCTTGAAGAAAAATGTAGGATGAGATGAGTTTCCAGAAAAAGGGAGTAAACATGAGCAAAAGAACAGAGGTGGCATCAAATTAAGCATGTGCTGGAAAAAATAAAGAGAAAAACTATTAGCACCTATGAAATGAATGTTGTGGAGCAACTGAAATGAACTACAGTTGTACAGTGCCAATTTGCTGAAGGTTATTTGAAAGTTAAGCAAAACAATCACCATGACTTCTTAAAAGGAGAAAAAATATGGTAAAAATAGTATTTTAAGAGGGGAGGTCTGATAAGCAACATGGAGGATGAACTGGAAAAGTGGAGAGACTGATGTTAGAAAGACAAGCTAGGAGCTGTGGAGGTAATCCAAATGGACGAACACTAAACAGGAGTAAGTCTGAAGAAAAGACCATAAGCTACACTACATGTGGAAGACAGGAAGAGGAGAAGATTCAAACATTAAGTCATGGTGCAGTGGCCTTAAAAACTAGAAGAATAGGGGTGCCCGGGTGGCTCAGTCAGTTAAGCATCCCACTCCTGATTTCAGCTCAGGTCGTGATCTCACGGTTCGTGAGTTCAAACCCTGCGTGGGGATCTGTGCTGAAAGCACCCAGCCTGCTTGGGATTCTCTCTCTTCCCCTCCCCTGCTTTCTCTCTCTCTCTCTCTCTCTGAAAAATAAATAAACATTAAAAATAAATAAGCAATACATAAATAAACTAGAAAATCAACTGTTCACATTTCTCATTAGGCTAGGAGCTCTCGTAACTACTTTTAGCACGTGCATGACGCTCAGTAAGGTGCTTCATAAATGTTTGTTGAATAAATGAATGTGGCACTGATGTGTGTGGAATATAAATGAATACCAGCAGCTTTTACAGAATCCTGCTTTCCCAAATCCTACCCTTAAGGTAAACTCAACACTCTTAACTATTATTCTCAGTGTTGCATTTACCTTTTCGCAGTACACTCCTTCCTCAATTCATTCAGAGATTCCTTCTGGAGTTGAAGCTTGAGGTGCTCAGTTGAAAATGCACTTCCTAGAGACAGATGGAGGAAGACAATTCCAGATGTAACACTGCTGATACCACTGTTCAATTACAACCAAACACGCAGAGCCCATCCCCCGACTATGAGAGAGCAATAGAGTTCAGAGGCAAAGTAAACTGGGGATAGAAGTCTTCTGGGGGAATTAACTAGAAAAAACTTCCCTACTTGTTCAATTTTGACACAAGTCCAGCCTCTAGCAGGAGTCAAAGAGTAAGTCAAAGAGTAATCTGCCTCCAGATTTCTGGATTGCTGACCAAGAAACCCTGATGAGATTTCAAAATTCAGACTTCATTAAAAAAAAATTTTTTTTTTAATATTTATTCACCTTTGAGAGACAGAGAGAG